CTGGAAACCGGCAGTAGGACATCCTTCGAGGGGTCCCAGATTGGAGAGGGTGCAGGCCGGGCTGAGGAACACCCCCTCCCCCGTGCATGAATTTCATGCACCGGGCCACTAGTAAAAATATATTTTTTAAAAAAGATTTAAGGATATAACTTAAAACAGACATGTTCTCTTAACTCAAATATCAAATCCCGGTTAATTTGATGCGTTTATACTTTTTGGCATGTGTGGACAGCAAAAATATTTACTGGCTGACAATCCCAACAGGAACTGGAGCAATTTTCTAAACACATCTCCAACCATCACCAGGTCTGGCTCGGACAACACTAAGCCACAACAGACACTCCTGTCTCCCTCTCTGGAAATCCAGGTCACAGCTCTTCCAGAAAAGAGAAATGGCAGACACTCAGAGAGCCCTTTCTGATGCTCTGCATTCATCTTTGATTTTATGTCCAGTTTCTTAAGTCAGTCATGCTATCTTTTCACTTCAGTATGGGTGCTACTTACCTTGACTCTAGGGTTATCCAACAATCCAAGAAAATTAAAGGAGGCAAAGTTTATACATTCTTTTCCATTCACCACGATGCTGTGGCTTGGAGGGCTGGGGAAGAGAGATGAGAATGGTTTACTCAGTCAACACGTTACAGCACACATGCTCCCACACTACCCTGGCAGCAGACAGGACACAGTGTTGTTACTCTACACTACTTGTGCACCGGTCTTCCAGCTCTTGTACTGTTTATTTTTAAAAAGTAAAATTAGACAATGGTATATTAAAATCAGATACTTGGCCAGTAATTCTTAATAGGCTACCCTGTACACTTCAGTTAAGAAGCTAGAATTTCAAAATGGATAGATGGCAAATCTTTGTTTTGATTTTACAATTCATTTAAGAAAGAATAGCTAGCCGTGGCCGGTTGCTCAGTGGTTAGAGCGTCGGCCTATGGACCGAAGGGTCAAGGGTTCAATTCCAGTCAAGGGAATGTACCTTGGTTGCAGGTTCCCCAGCGCCAGTAGAGGTTGCATGTGGGAGGCAACCAATGGATGTATCTCTTTCACCGCTATTTCTCTTTCTCTCTCTCTCTCTCTCTCCCCACCTCCTCCCTCCCTTCCACTCTCTTTCAAAATCAATGGAAAAAATATCCTCAGGTGAGGATTAAAAAAAAAAGAATAGCTAAATAAAGTACCTCAGACTCAACCATTGAGCCACACCAGCTGGGGTGTGTGTGTGTGTGTGTGTGTGTGTGTATAAAAGCAGCGGTCACCAACCGGTGGTCCATGAGGCCCAAAAGGTTGGCGACCACTGTATTAAAAACAGAGTGGCCAGCTCCACAGGAGTATGCATCTAAGTGTGGCTGGGACAGGATAAGTCCTTTGCTGACAAATACTAGCTGTAGGCCATGCTTCAGAAACACAGGGCCAAGCTACAGGTCACAAGCAATTAACCGGTTGTAAGACCAAATTGAGTCAGTCACAATCAATCTATTTTAACTAAAGGAAACCATAGAATAGAATGGAATGGGACTGTCACAGCAAGGGAAGTGACCGTCCCTGAAACTTGTTTCAGTTACACACCTGCACTGGTCTACATGCTGGGTTGCTCTAGAAAATGCACTACGGCCAGAAAAGACCGAGACACTGCTCTCATTGGTATGTATCAACAGAACTGGTTTTCTATGAGAAAGATAACAAAGATGCTGGGAAACCAGGGAGGAAATGAAAGACAACTTCAAGTAAATTCACAAAAGCAGATAAAAATTTACAGTCGTCTGCCCTGTGGCTACTGATGGCTTCAGAAACTTTTGGAGATTACCTGGGCTTGTAAGCCTCAGTTTCTTCATCTGTAAAATGGGGAGAGGACCTTTTTCTCAAGGTAACTGTCATTATAAAAGTGCCTGGTCCACAGAGGTGTTCTCTAAATATTATCTTCCTTCTTCCCTATGGCTTCAAGGCTTCTTCTCTTTTCACCCACTGGGACTGTGAATCCATCATGTTATTTAGTTTGATCCTTCTCAGGGCTTCTTAAAGTTTCCCCAGTCCTCCCTGGTGTGGAGGTTTTAGCACTCACAAAAAGATGAGAAAACAAAACACCTATATAGACAAGCCTGCAGTAATAGTTGCTGCTGTGAAAGTCAAGACCATTCCACAAAAACCGTGACACGGAGAAACCAAACTATCAAGAACGAGCACACCCAAAGCCCCTGAGTACAGGCCAGCTGAAGCACGACATGGGATGTGGGGACCGGTTTTCGTCCAGCACCTGGGACAAGGCAGGAAAACAGCTTCCAGTGAGCACCAGGAGGCTCACACCTGTGCCCCATGCAGGGACCTGACACAGGAATCCTGGAGAGCAAGACCCTTCAGGGTGGCCTCGCAGAAGTCAGTAAAATCAATCCAGAAAGACAGCTCCACAGTCAAGGCCTCAGAGAATGGGAGGAAGGAAAATAAAACCTTCCCAACCAAAAACCCCAGCCTCACTGTTAGGTCACCTGGATGAACGAAGGTTCATAGGTGGCTTAGTGAACTTGGAAACGGAGAAGGGTTCTCTACCCGAGAAAAACAACCATTACAGACTCCAGCAACCTCAGGTTTGGCGCTGGTGAGAATAAACAACTAGACCAGTGAGTGAATCTGGAACTCAAGAGAGCTGTGTATACATGAGTACCTGGCAAACAATAGCATTTGCCCCACAAATGACTTAGTTACACACAGATATTTCTCTATGGGAAAAAATAAAGTTGTATAATCATGTACAAAGGTTAATTCCAGACATGTCACAAACCAAAAAGATATTTTGGAAAAGATAATGAAAGAAAACGTAGAAGAATGTTTTTGTGACCTTGGAGTAGGAAATGACCTCTGAAGCAAGTCTCAAAATATGCAAACCATGAAGCCGAAATGGATGAAACTGATCAAGTCAAAATTAACATCAAAGATGAAGTTAACAGGTGTGTAATAAAGAGATTGATTGTATTTCACTGAATCTAAGAGGGCATCAACTGTATTTTACCGGCCACTACAGAAGAAAACACTGCCGATTAGATTACAGGGGTCCTCAAACTTTTTAAACAGGGGGCCAGTTCACTGTCCCTCAGACCGTGGGAGGGCCGGACTATAGTTTAAAAAAAAACTATGAACAAATTCCTATGCACACTGCACATAGTTTATTTTGAAGTAAAAAAACAAAACGGAAACAAGTACAATATTTGTATTTGCATGTGGCCCGCGGGCCGTAGTTTGAGGACCCCTGGATTAGAAGGTCAAGATGTTTCCTTGTCATCTAGAATTTTTTAGACTATATTTAATGAAAAGATCTGTTGGGTACTCTTGGACACAGACTTTGGTTACACTCTTTTGAACTTCTGAAAACGAAAATACTAGGAATTCAAATTGGTCAGGACATTCCTAACCTCTTTGCCCAAGTTCCGACTGTCTGCTCTCCTCTGCTAAGCCACGGACACTGTGGCCATTCACACTATTCTGCTGTCTGCCACCGAATACCCAGGCAGTGGCTTCGCAGGTGCTCTCCTACCATCTGACAAGTTGGTGTCACTCATTCTTTACGTTTTAATGCTGGAACTTTCCTATGAACTAAACTCCTAGTTTCATCTTTTGCCAATTGAACCATGTTTCTAGAAAGCAAGCTGTTATTACCCAAAGGCAGCAGAAGTCTGACAAAGAGACGCTCAAACCTTAGTTGCAGTAGCCTCTGTTAGTCTACTTGGAGTGGTTTGGCCCTTTCTCCTGCCATCAGCTGATTTACTTACCAGTGCTGCCCATAACTCAACTGAAGTGCTGGCAATAAACACAGTCATGACCTAGTTCACTGGTACACAGGCAGTGACAGCCCCCCGCCCCAGGCCCCTTGGCTGACAATGACTTGCAGCAGCTGTATGATTCACCCCCAATTCAGAGATCTTAAAATAGAAGGGGAAAAAAAAGGTGCATTTTAGAATCAGTGTAATAAAGTACCACATCAAAAACTGACCAAAGCCTGGTTGGTGTGGCTCAGTGATGGAGCATCAACCCATGAACCAAGAGGTCACCAGTTCAATTCCTGGTCAGGATACACGCCTGGGTTGCGGGTTCCATCCCAGTGGAGGGTATGCAGGAGGCAGCCGATCGGTGATGTTTCTCTCTCTCTCCCTCTCCCTTCCTCTCTCTCTCAACAATAAAAACATATTAAAAAAAACCACAACTGACTAAGGATTAGAATCCACATGGCTCTATTAATCAAAGGACACACTGGAGATCAGCAGAAAGATGTAAAAAGATATCAGGAGGCATTCATAAAAGGCAAAACCCAGCAGCTGGTAAATACTCAAAGGCTCAAATAATCAGAGAAATGCAAAATAAACCAATGCAACCAACCCAGGCTGTGAGGAAACTGAAGCCCCACAGACTAACGCAGGGGAGCGTCCATGGGCAGGTCACGATGGAGGGATCAAACAGGTTTGCAAGGGGACATTAACACAGGGTTTTCTATGGCATCTTTCTCCCCAAGATGGTATTTAGAACTCAGTTACCATACACAACAGAAGATACAGCAGTCAGAGGAAATGACAAGAAGGACCCCGGCACCCCACCTCTGTATGCCTTGCTTCCTATTTCCTCAGACCACTCAATGCCAGCAAACGCTGTATTTATTTCATTGCTGGTCTGTCTGTCCCAAGAAAACTAAGATTTTGATTTATTGCTCTATAAACCAATGTGCTGAGCACATTCCTTAAACATAGTAGGTATTTGTTGAAAAAATAAATGTTGAGCAGAAATCTTGCAAAAAGTCAGAATACAGCTCTAGCCAGTTTGGCTCAGTGAATAGAGCATCAGCCCTCAGACTGAAGGGTCCCGGGTTTGATTCTAGTCAAGGGCATGTACCTTAGTCGCAGGTTCCCCGGCCCTAGTCGGGGTGCGTGCACAAGGCAACCAATCGATGTGTCTCTCTCACATCGATGTTTCTCTCCACCTCTCCCCCTCCCTTCCACTCTCTCTAAAAGTCAGTGGAAAAATATCCTTGGGTGAGGATTAACAAGAAATAAAACATCAGAAAATCTAGAACACAAAATTAAAAACATACATTCACAAAACATTAAGAATATGTTTTAAACCAACAACATAAATATAAAATGTATCATTTTAATAACATAGAAATGTGTCACACACAAAATGCTGATAGAAAGCATGATAAAATATTACAGTGGGTGTCCTCGCGAAGGGGAGAGTGGAGGCAGACACCAGGGACAAAGGACATTGAGAACGAAGCAAACAAGAGCACTGCCTCAGGTGGGTGCTGACAAGAGTGGAACTGAGCCAAGGGGTCACGCCTATGTCTCCACAAAAGGCGTGCCACAGAGAAAAAGAACCAGAAATAAACCTCTGGAGAATGAGTGAGGAAGGAGACACAATGATGCTTGCAGTGGAGACATGAGCCCCACAGATGTGTCATTCCCTATCCTACATAATAAAACCCTAATATGCAAATCGATTGAACAGCGAAACGATCAGTCGCTATGGTGTGCACTGACCACCAGGGGGCAGACGCTCAACGTAGAAGCTGCCCCCTGGTAGTCAGTGCGCTTCAACAGGGGGAGTGCCGCTCAG